GGAATTTAGAATCCAGACTAATACAACTCTCAAGCCTGGGATAGATGAGAGGGGCTGGGGTCTACGCTCCCAACTTAACATTTATGTTGGTCACAGCGATCGGAGATTTATAATGAAGATTCTCAGTGATGGCAAAGACAGAGGAAAAAAATGTCACAACTGGAAAGGACCAGGGCAAGTGTGTCCAAAGGGCATGCATGTCACGATGTCAAAAGATTGAACACTTTTGAACTGGAGTAGACAAAAAGAATATTCAATTTGAATAGGGCTTGAAGAATCTTAATTTAAAGATTTGTTGTTTGAGGCGTCAGAGGCTAGAAGGTCAGGAGTTCAAGGCCAGTCTTTGCTATACAGCAAGTTCAAGGCCTATATGAGAATCCAGCTCAAAAATAAAAGTCTGGAGTAGGAGTATATCTAGATTTATAAAGTATTTACCATGCAAGCATGAGGACCCGAGCTCGGTCCCTGCCAGCTACATAAAAAAGCTAGGCATGGCTATGCACACCCAGAATTTCACTACTTGGGGTTTTCTGGCTGGTTTAGCCAGCCTAGCCAAACCAGGAACTCAAAGTTCAGGCAGAGACCCTGTCTCAAAAAAATAAGGTTCAACTAGCAATTGAAGAAGACAGCATTGACTTCTGGCCTCTACACGCATGTGCTTACGAGTGCACACAAACACGTAAGCATAGAAACACACAGTTTGACCAGGTGGTGGTGGCGGCGCACGCCTTTACTCCCAGTACTTGGGAGGCAGTGACAGGTGGATCTCTGAATGTGAGGCCAGACTGATCTACAGAGCGAGTTCTAGGGCAGGCTCAAAAGCTAACAGAGAAACCCTGTCTCAATCAACAGAAAGAGAAAAAAAAAAATACACAATTTTTTAAAATTTAGATTAGAATAAATTAAGATTCTCTAATAAATGAAAAATGGAACCAGTCCCAATTTTGGAAGAAGAATCTAGGATAACAGTCTAGAAGCTCACTTTCATGAAGAATGAGAACACTGCTCAGGAAAAGTGAATGCTGACCTCGTGTCTACTTTTAAAGTTCATAGGAGCCACACTAACCCAAACAAAAGGAAACTGAGAAGTTGATATAAATAACATCATAAGTGTGTTAGTAACATAAATAAATGTATGAATCAGAAATATCACTTCTCCATGTGGCCAGTGGGTGGGGACTGTCACAGACGGATCACGCTGTCTACACACCAGTTCTCTCTCTCTCTCTCTCTCTCTCTCTCTCTCTCTCTCTCTCTTTTTTTTTTTTTTTTTTGTGATTTTTCGAGACAGGGTTCCCTATACCAGTTCTTGCTGCCATGAAGGAACGGTCAGTTTGTCTATCTCTGCTTGTCTGGCTTTGCCGATTTTCCTCAAATTCCGGAGTCCACCCCTACTGGGGCAATGCACTAACCTGTGACTCCGAATCTCTTCCCTTCCCTCTAGTGTATGTTTGATTCCATGCCCAGCCATCTCTGAATGCCACCTGCTTCAGATCCTGTAGCAGGAGTATAGCGAGATGGACGTTAACTTCTTTGCATTCAGCTGCCTAAACCTATGTTCCAAGTGGGGCATCTACTATAAGCTACGTGGTGGTGTCCTGTGCTTTACAAGGAGGAAACAAAAACATGGCTACCCGCACATACAACCTTTGAGAAGCTCTTTCCTTGTGTCTACTCAGGTAGACGGGATACCTAATTAGCAGACAGGGAATTCATACCAGGTTTTAGGGCATTACCAAATAGGCTTTGGTCACTATTGTGAAATGGGAATCCCTGAAAACAAAACAGGAGCCATGTTGTTATACACTGTTATTAAACCTCCCTACAAGAATAAGTTTCTGTTTCCTAAGCCTAATGTATCCAGCAAACCATGTTTTCCATCCTACACTAAACTTGTGACCCCCGTGATGTATGCCCGCCCCTTTGTCTTGCTGAATTCTTGAACTCTGAGACATGGCTGCCCTTTTGCCCTACTAAAGGGTGTCTTCCCAGGCACCTTGATGACTCTGCTTCCACAAAATGTATTCTTGCCCTTATCTACCGCACAGACAGCCTTGAGCCCTGAGTTCCCAACTCTTCTGGCCAGTTATCTCGACAGCTGATTTCTATCAACCCTAACCCTTCCTCATAAAAAAAAATAACAAAAACAAAACAAAAACCAGTAAGGGGCTCCTCCTCTCTGAAACCCTGACTGTTAGGAGAGGCAGCTGGCTGTGGAACTGTGTTTTTCCTCAGGTCTAATAGCCTCCCTCACTTCTTCCTTGTCTTTCTCCCGTCTATCCAGTCCTCTCTAATCCAGTCACAGGATGCTGTTTAACTTTGAGGCCACCACGATATTGTATTGTGAGTGATTTCCACCTGCTGTTTTCCCCTTGGTTACTCATCATCTAAGCTGAATGACTCCACTCCTGATTAGGAAATCATGGTGGGTTAGTTTCATTGGTCATGTATCCCTTAGCATTAATGACTTCCAAACTGATCAATGGTTTCTACTTCCTTTGGTGCAAATTAGTATTTTGAACCATAGCTTGTTTCAAATTTATGTTCAACTATGAATGAATGAGTGAGAGAAGAGCCTTTAGAAACAAATCTTTGTGAGAGGCAGGGAGGAAAGAAAAAGAATGCCAAGGTCTTAGTCAGCTTTCTGCTGCTGTAACAAAAACGGATCTTTATTTTTATTGTTTTGTTGTTGTTTGCTTTGAGGACAGGGTCTCCCTATGCAACCCTGGCAGATCTAGAACTATGTAGACCAGGCTGGCCTGAACTCACAGCTGTCTACCTGCCCTAGCCTCCCAGGTGCTGGGATCCAAAGCACACATCACCAAACACAGTCAAAACTGATTTCTAAACAACAATTGCACAGAATAATTGTTTTTCTGATGTCCCCTTCACACATGGACTTCATGAGCTTTGCTCATTTACCCAGTCCCCCATTCTTGTCCTCTCCTCCATCTTCCCACTTGTCCTTGTTTGCCTTCTGTGGTTGTCAGACAAACACTGAGCAAAATCAACTTGGGAAAGGGAATGGGTTTATTTGGCTTACAGACTGCAGTCCACCAGCAAGGGAGCCAAGGCAGGAAACTGAAGGCAGGAACCAAAGCAGAGAGCAAAGAGGAACATTAAACATCAATCAAGAAGATGCCCCCAGAGACTTGTCTTTGGGCCAATCTGATGGAGACATTTTCTCAGTTGATGTTCCCTCTCTGGAGCAAGATGACTCAAGTTTGTGTCCAGTTGACAAGCAACTAACCCAACACACCATCAGTCTCTCTCACTCCTTTTAAACCTTCATGCCTTACATATTAGAAATACATATACATCCATGTGTGTATATGTATATATGTATATGCACACACATACATATATATTCATTCCCCACATAAGAGAAAACACATAATTGTCTTCCAGAGTGTGACATCACTTGGCATAATGATCTCCAGTTCCGTCTATTTTCCTACAAATGACACAATTTTATTCTTCTTTAAAGCTAAATAAAACTCCATTGTGTATAACTCCACATTATCATCCATTCATCTGTTGGTAGACACCTAGGCTGACTTTGTATGTCGGCCCTGGTGAACCACGCAGTAATAAACAGATGTGTGCACATCTCTGTTGTACGCTGACTTAGATTCCCTTCCTGTCTGGACCAAAGGTCATATAGCTGGATCACATGATGATTTTAGTGTTTTGAGGAACTTCCATGCTGATTTGCATAGAGGCTGCACCTTCTCACACCCTCTCCAGCAGGGGCAAAGGCCTCTTCTTCACCCACGTTTTTACCAGCATCTGCTTTCCCAGTGATTTTTACCAGCATCTGCTTTCCCAGTGATCGGCATTCTGACTGGGGGAGCTGAAATAGCCATGTAGACTTGATTTGCATTTCCCCAGGAGCATCTATGTAAAGTAGTCAAGATTTAATTTGGCTTGCAGTTTCAGAGGTTTTAGCCCACGGTTGCTTGGCTCTGTTGTTTTTAGGTCTGAGGTGAGGCAGAGAGAGTATCATGGCCAGAGGCACACAGTGGAACAGAGCTGTTTGGCTTGAGGTTCCTGGGAAGCAAAGTATAGAAGAGAATGGATCTGGGACAAATTATACCCTCCGGTGTGGGGTTCCACCTCCTGACATTTCTACAGTCTTCCAGACTCCCATTAAACTGTGAAGCCCTTGATGAGGTCAGAGCCCTCATGACCTGATCTCTTCCCAAAGACCCAGCCTATGATCACTACTGCCTGAGGGGCGAAGCCTGACACTCGTGAACTTTTTTTTTTAACCAATTAATTTATTTATTTATTTTGTATACAATATTCTGTCTGTGTGTATACAATATTCTGTCTGCAGGCCAGAAGAGGGCACCAGACCTCATTACAGATGGTTGTGAGCCACCATGTGGTTGCCGGGAATTGAACTCAGGACCTTAACCACTGAGCCATCTCTCCAGCCCAACTCGTGAACTTTTGCAAAGATGTTTCACTTCCAAACTAGCACAGTGCCAAAAAGGGAAGGAAGAAAGTGGCAATGGTGAGCTTGGGAAACAGACTCCTCTGTTTCTGCGTTCCGTTGCCCTTGGATCTGGGCTCTGAACCAGCACACTTTACCCCATAGCAAGTATTTTTCCTGGACCCTGGACGTGGCAGGCTTACTGCATTTTCATTTTTAGTGCTGCCTGTCGTAACCAGTTGAGACTGGTGTGTTCCTTGAGCCCAGGTGCCAGGAGCTGAGATTTAAGTAGTGGAAGCATCTTGCCTCCAAAAGAAACAAGTAGACAGCACCTGAGAAATGACAGTCAAGGCTGTCCTCTTGCCTCCACAGGCATACACATACACACATATGTGCACACACGTACACACACACATGCACACACACACACACACACCCCTGTGTACTCTCACCCACATGACACACAAAGAAAAGGAAAGAAAACATGTTGAATAATAAAGATTATGTTGCCCCAGGACTGGAAAGATGGCTCAGTGATTAAGAGCATATATTGTTCTTGCAGGGCACGCGTGGGTTCCAAGTTCAATTCCCAGCATCTACATCAGGCAGCTTACAACTGCTTGTGACTCCAACTCCAGGGGAAGACACTAACCTCAGGTGCATGCACATGTACAGACATATACAGACATGCACACATGTGCATGCAAATAATAAAAATATTTTTAAAAAAGATTATGCTGCCCCTTTATTCTTATATCTCAAAGGATCAAATAGAGACACAAGTCAGTTTTTTTTTTATTATATTGTTCCTTTAGCAGCAGTTCCTTCCTCCCTTGCTTCTTTCCTCCTTTCCTCACTCTTTCCCTCCCTCCCTCCTTCCTTTTTTTTCTCTCTTCCTGTCGGCCAAGCATTTCTTCCTGTGGTGACCTATCTTAATTTTATCATGAGGAAGTTAAAAGTTGATTGGAAGACCCAACAATATGGCTCGGTGGGTAAAGGCATTTGCCATCAAGTCTGATGATATGAGTTCAAGTCCCAGGACCCACACATATACGTATACCAAATGAATGAATTTAAAAGCTTTCTTTAAGTCAAAATTTGATTGAAGAAACTGAGAGTTGAGGACAACAGTGTTATGGTTTAGATAAAAGCTGCTCAGTTCCTCCAGGGCCAGTGGGCCAGGAGAGGCGGAGGGTCCCAGACGGGAAGCTGCAGCAGATGACCCAAGCCGCAGAGTGTGAGAGAGATGGATAGGCACACCATGCAGAGAGAGGGTTTGGGTATAGTTTATTTCGTGGGCTATGGAGGGGGAAGGGGAGAAGGGGAAAAAAGAGAGGCACAAAGAGAGGGGGGAAGAGAAGAGAGAGGGAGAAAGAGAGGAGTGCATGCAGGCTGGAGGAGGCATGACATCTGCTTCCCTCAGCAGAAGGGTAGGGGTTGGGAGAGGGCAGGGCTTGTCTCTTAAAGGGACAGGGTACCCAGGTAACAGACCAGGCCAGCAGATCATAACAAATGGAACCAGAGCCGCTGATGTCAATTGAAATACATGTTAGATTTATGAAGACTATTGAGCGGGCTCCATAGACAACCTATACCACATCTACGTACTCTGCACAGTCAGATGGTACTCATTGATGGGATACCATCATCATCATCATCACTACTGTGGTGCTGAAGGTGGCATCTGATCCTCACAGGATAGGCATGGCCTGTGTCTGCCACTGGAACTACACCATCAAGCTACAGCAATGGGAGTTAGCAGCCAAGAATCCTGGCTTAAAGCCTGGCTCTACCACCAACAGTCTTCATACAAGATACCTAATTTCTCAGAGCCTAAATCCTCTTTTAGATTCTGAGGATGAAATATCTCTTTGTAAGTCTGGAAAAGGGTTAAAGAGTTCACAAACTGAACGTGGCTCAAGAGACGCAAACATGGTTTCTTCTTTCTTTATCTCTTTCTTTCTTTTTTTCTTTCTTTCTTTCTCTTCTTTTTCTTTTTTGAGACAGGGCTTCTCTGTGTGGCTCTGCCTGTCCTGGAACCTGCTCCATAGACCATGCTGGCTTTGAACTCAGAGATCCACCTTATAGGTCTGTGTTACCACTGCCTAGCAAACAAGGATTCCTTGCTGTTAACTCTTTTTTTTTTTTAATTTATTTATTATGTATACAACATTCTGCCTGGATGTATGCCCGCACGCCAGAGGAGGGCGCCAGATCTCAGTACAGATGGTTGTGAGCCACCATGTGGTTGCTGGGAATTGAACTCAGGACCCCTGGAAGAGCAGCCTCTTAACCTCTGAGCCGTCTCTCCAGCCCCTCCTGCTGTTAACTCTTGAGCAGTTCAGATCACTCTTCTAAAACTCCTGTGTGAGGTTAAGAAAAAGAAAACAAAGGCCGTGCACGTCTGGTTTGGAAGGCATCAGGTGAAGTTGGTGATTAGGAGGCGGAGGGAATGTGGCCACAGGAGGTCTCAGGGATTTGTTTTCCCCTGTGTCACCTGTGTCTGTCTGGTTTTTACTTTCTCAAGGAAGTAACACTCTGGGACCGGTTAAAAGTCTCGCCTAAGAGCTTAGGTCACTTTAGGTTGTCGCTCCCAAGATAAATATTCTGCCCGCCCTCATACCTGCCCTCCCTTTGTTCTGGAATGTTCTTGACTTTATTCCTTCTTATCAGCTGCCCTTGGGAGCCAACCAGAGTGTGTCGCCACTCCATTCCGTTCTCCTCCCCCAGAAGCAGCCCCCACATACCTCCCTTTTGACACCTCTGTGGCACCCAGTGGATCTCAGGTCTGCCTATAACACATTCCTTTGTCCTCTGCCAATACCAGATGTGAGGGAGTGAAGGGAAAGAATGCAACCACATTCTATGTTCACCTGACCTCGTCATGCAGAAAGGCTGCCAGAAGCTTGTGGAATGAGGAACACGATTAGGTCAGAAAAGACCCATCATTCCTCCAGACAGGCTCGCTTTCCGTCCTAGGATTGAACTAATCTCGGGTGGAAAATAGGAAAGAAACAAAAACAGCATCCTGGTCTTTTTCTTCTCATTATTCCCTAAAGTCTAAGGCCTAGACAATATGTTCTAATCGTATAAGCACTCATAACACTGTTTTTACATTGTGTTAGGTATTTAAAGTCATCTAGGATCGGGACAGTGGTGGCTCAAGCCTTTAATCCCAGCACTCAGGAGGCAGAGGCAGGTGGGTCTCTGAGTTCAAGGCCAGTGTGGTCTACAAAGTGAGTTCTAGGACTGGCCAGAACTGTTACACAGAGAGACCCTGTTTTGAGAAACCCAAAATAAATAAATATAAGTAAGTAAGTAAGTAAATAAATAAATAAATACATGTCATCTAGAGCTGATTGAAAATCTACAAAGGATGTTAGGCTCTGTGCAGGCACTGTGCTGTGGTAGAGAAGGGACCACGGTTCCCTTTGGACCCTGGTTCCATAGAGGGGTCAGAACTAAGCCCCACAGGTACCCAGAGACAGTTGTTCTATTGCACTCGTCTAGAAAAATATTGTCTACAAACACATTTTCCCCTTCTCTTGCATAAAGTTTATCCAATGATTTTTCAGCCCCTGACTCAAGTGTTTAAGCAGTTCTTAGGGAAGAGTTCTGTTCTACTGTTCCAACGCCCACGGGCTTCTTCAAAGGCCATACCCTTTGCCGCCTCTGTGACACCATTCAGAAAACACTCTCGGTGGGCGAGTGGGTGATCTGCGGGGTGGGGGGTGGGGGGTTCTCAACCGCTAGACTGCTCAGCATAAACAGTCAGTCCTCTTTATGAGTCTGAAGACTGAATTTGTGTGGTTTTTGTTCCTGTCTAGAAAAATGAGGGAATAAAAAAAAAAAAAGCATTTATGGAATTTTGCTTGAGTGATTTGGGCCCTGCAAGCTTTGGTTTAAAATATCCAGAAAATGTAGTCGAAGTGGGTTGTTTGTCTGGGACTTGGAATCTTGAGTAACTGCTGTTCCCAGAGAGAACTTTATGCCAGCTTTTCCCATAGTCCTTTGCTTAGAAAAAAAAAAGCCAATTATTTTTGATGATTATTAAAATCATGAGTTATTTTGTGCTGGTGACTGAGCCCACATGAACTGCTCCGGTGAGCCACCCTCTCCATCCTGCTGCCTCTGCTCTCTCCCCACTGAGGGGGCACCACCTTGTTCCCTCTGCCCCTCCCTAAGTGCTTTTTTTTTTTTAATATTTATTTATTTATTTATACAATGTTCTGTCTGTATGCCTGCAGGCCAGAAGAGGGCACCAGACCTCATTACAGATGGTTGTGAGCCACCATGTGGTTGCTGGGAATTGAACTCAGGACCTTTGGAAGAGCAGGCAATGCTCTTAACCACTGAACCATCTCTCCAGCCCCCC